GGGGGGAAGGAGGGAGAAAGCAGAGGGGTTTGTTTGTGGCACAGGGCAGCACCACTGCGTCTCCATCACATGCACGCAGAGTTGCAGGGCAAATTTTGCATCATGGTTCCAAGAGGTTTTGCAACTCACAGGACATCAGAAAGCGATCTGGTGGCTCTGGTGGGTGGCAGCCCAAGGTCTGGAGAAACCGTAGGGGGCTGGAAGGAGAGGGCTTGTTTTTCTTCTGCAATGCATCAGCTTTTAGACAGCTGGGGCTGTCTTTGCTCATAACAGCTCTAGAAAAGCCTTTTTCCCTGTCTGTAGGCTCTGGCAGTGCTCCAGGATGTGCCTGCTCTGCCAGCTCAGAGAAAAGGGCAACAGCTGGTGCCCTCGAGTCCCCAGGCCCTACAGCCTTCCCTGGGCACCGCACCCAAAGCAGCCCTGGGTCACTTCCCTGATGGTGACCAATATCAACCAACGCATGACACAAAGGGAAGGGCTATGGCACTCATATGCACCCCTCCCAGCCCCAAATTCTTCTGCCCACCCTCAAACTGCTTCATCATAGGGTCACCACGAGCAGCAACATGCAGGGCCCAGCCAGCAGCCCTGCTCACACACAGGGAAGGGTTGGCCCCAGTTGTTGCTTAAGTGTTAACCATCATCCAGCAGCTGGTAGCCACCGCCAGGGCCAGTCCTTCAAGCCCTGTGTTCCCCCTCAGGACAAGTGCGAATCCTCAGCTGAATCCCATCAACCACAGGGCCCTTTCCCTTTCTTCCTGGCTTTATCCACCCTGCAGTCCCCTGGAGGCTTTCACCAACCCCCACACAGCATCTCCTTAAGAGCAAACCAGGCTTTTCTCTCTGCATGCCAAACTTTCCATCACTCATACTGCTATTGCTGCCAGCTGAGATAAGAAGCCCAGCCTCTAACACTGTGTGTTGTTGCAGTGAGTAAGGTGATGCCCAAGGGCTAGGACTGGGTTTCCCCTTCACCTACACATGCATCCCATGGGTGTGCACACACAGCCTAGCAAACACACACTCATTCTTTGGGGAGGAACTGCATTTTGGCATCAGCCCTACATCCCAGCTGGTGGCTCTGTGTCCAAGGGGTGGGGACAGACAGGACAAGGGGCTGCCTGGCACCAGGATTTGCCCCAGGAACTGGGGGTCATAGTATCCCCCAGGAACTGGGGGTCATAGTATCAGTATTCACCCTGAAGGTGGAGGTGCTAGGTGGGAGCGAGAGCTGTACAGCACCTCTGGGGGTCACACCACAGCATCACTCCTGCTCCCCACACACAGGGTGTTCCTCCATCCTTCTGGCACCAGATTTAGGCCTCCCTCAGCAAAAAAATGCAGCAATTTGAGCTCATCACCAGGACAAGAATAAGAGTTTATCCTTATAATAAACACACACTATGCACTCAGTGCCTATGCTGCTATCATCAGTGCTGCTCAGGACTAAACAAGCCCTGTTTCTCTGAACTGTCCTCAAAGGCCACGTTGTGACAGCCCCAGATGCTTTCATCTGTGGAATTTCCAGTTTCCAGACATCCATTTTAACCCTGCTGCTGCAGCAGGCTGAGCACACGCTGCATTCAGGGCAGTGCTGCACAGTCCTCCTAGAGACAGGGACGTATTTTTTGGTTGTTTTTGACTCCCAGCGAATTTAGGATCTTTGGAAGCACTGAGATCTTCATCCACCACACTGCCATAATTATGCCTTTTACTTCTGCATTTGCTTTCTCCTGTAGAAGGAGGCTCCTCTGCCTGTCAGTCTCCTGCTGCCAGGGGTGAGCAGGCAGATCCTTGGAAATACTTAGGCAGAAGAGGCAGAGCTGACACATCCCTCCCACAGAGAGGATGCCCAGCTCCTATCTCTGCCCTCTTCCTTTTCCTAACACCTCCCAGGTCAGTGTGCCTGGCACAGCTGGAGGAAGTAGGAGGCAAAAGCTGGGCTCTGGCCACAGTCAACACCAAGCACAGTGATGTGGCAGCTGGGCAAACAGAAGCTGTTGGGCAGTTACTGCATCTCCCGCCAGTCACAGCTGGGCTGTCCCCTGGGTGGGACAAGCTTCGGTCTGAGTAAGCCTTGCAAGACTGAGTGAACAGCTCAGCTCTATGGCATTGGAGCAGAGTGGCTGCTATCTAAACACCACCTAAAAAATCACTTAAAAGAACACCAGTAAAGAACTGCGACTTCACCTTCCTTTCCTGTCCAGCCCCACACCAGAGGTCCCAGACAAGTTCAAACAGTTGGATTCCGGGAACACTGCAAACCTGGGCGCCTTCAGGACAGCAGTTCCCTCCTGGCAGCAGTCAACTCTCCCCTATCTCCACTGCCTGTCTCTCAAAAATAAATATGTTTAGATACAGATAAGTATTTTAGAATAACAAACTCTATGGGGGAGAAAAAAAAAAAAAAAAAAGCCAGCCCACACAACCCTTCCAGAAAAGTTTCCATGGAAGAGAAGCTGCTGTTTGGGAACATTTTCACCCCTGCCTGTACTTGGTGAGGAGGGGACACTGCAAGCAGTTTAACTGGCTCTAGTGAGAAATAAGGCAGCAGCTGCTCTCAGGTGGCCAAGAGCATCAGGAACAAATGCCCTTTGGGGCCACATGGTTGCTAAGGACCCACGTACCAAACACAAAAGTTCCTGTGTATGGTCTCAGAAGTCTAGCATCTGGTCTAGGGTAGGCAGCAAGGCTTTGCAAGCACCAAACCTGTCTCAGAGAGACAAGAGAACTGGGCAAGACTATTGGGTCAGCAGCTGTTTCTCTCCTCAGAACATGTAGGTTGTCACAATGCTTTCTGGAAAAGCCATCCTATACCATGATTTCATCATCATCTACTTTTGATGAGCACTGCAGGACAGGGAAGCTGCCCAAATAACCAGCAGTAGTACCTAGGCTGGCTGAACAAGAAAGAACAGGTATCCACCTCTGATCAGTTGAGGTTACACATCTCCAAACAGAATACATTCCCATCATGTTGCTTAGTACTTCCTTAGACTTCACTGTGTAACTATTTACAGTGAGAAATCCTTTCCCTCCCTACACAAATGCTTTACAAGACATATTTCTCCCACAGGAACTGAAGGGACTATTTGTCCAGTTACCTCTTCAAAAACAGTAAGCCAGAAGAGTGTACTCACTTGCCTGGCAAGAAGAGCTGCAGTTACCCGCTCCTGGCCTCCCTGCTGGATCACCCCCTCCTATGCAGCCTGCAGGACAGCTTAGACTGACGTGGCTGTGGAGTGTTCAGCCTATCCAGAGACAGCAGGATGCAGCCAGGGGGTAGTAACAAAGCACTGATGGTAGCAATGGGATCTTCAACTAGAGCTGAGGGAGCCTGTGGTTAGACCCTGGAAGAACACACAACTTGGAGGTGATCAGAAGCGTTCACTTTGTAAATCAGGATCCTGTTTTTGGCAGGCAAGAACCATTTGCTTTTTAAAATATACCCTTCTCAAAGTGGCAAGAGCTTCTCTAAAAAAACACATTTTGAGGACAAGTGTCTTGATAAAAGAATTGAACATCCCTGCATCTGAACTGCTAATCCTTGCCTTGCACAAGGCTGTGAGATAAAGCAGTCCACGTGTGCTATGACTCACTCACACTGGTTAAGCGTTACTGAGAGAGAGGACACAGTACCTCACAGCCACCAATTGCCACAGAACCTGGGGATCACAGGCGACAGATATAACTTCTGTGATCCTTGAAGGTGCTGGACTTTCCTGCTGCCAACAGAACAAATCCTAAAGCGGAACATTTGAACAATAACCCAGCAAGCACTAAAGCACACTGCTTCCTGGAAAGACAGCACGGAAACCCTGGGAGCTCGTCTGAAGGCAGGGACAGCAGCAAATCACAACTGCACACGTACACTATGCAGCAGGGAAAAGAAGGCGGAAGGAAGCCTGGTAGGATTTGAGGTTTTTTCTCTTTTTCTTCTTGGATCACATCTCAGTGAATTACCTGCACCACAAACAATGCAGCTGTTCTCTGCTGGCTTTTACTTTGCTCTCACATTGGCAAATATTGTGGCTTGGCAGCTATTGTTGCTGCTCGGCGTAGCACCGGCCTCTCAGAGCAACACTGATCCACAATGGTAAGGGAAAAACATCCTACAGGAAGGAAAAGAATTAGCATGAAAAGGAAAAGCAGTGGCGGGAAGAAGTAGCTGCGCTCAGAATAAATGCACTGCCTGCTGCTGGGGGTGGGGGTAGGAAGGGTTACACCACAGCCAAAATCTCACACACACAAGTTGAGACCTGGCTATAGTTTTCAGTTTTATCTCTGTACCAGCAGCACAGGGCATGTTGGTTGGGGTAGGAAGAAAGGCAGGCCATGCAGCTGTCAGCAAATAGACCCTTGTAGCACACACTGACACAAGAACCAATGCAACCCTAACAGGTGTGTCTGTCTTTGAAATCTAAGGTTTCTTAATCAGAGCCAAGGGGAGAGGCGGGGCACAGAGCTGCCTACAGAGACCTGGAAACAGCAGGTCAAACAGGCTGATGCTCTAGGAAGCACTCTCAGCCAGGATTAACACATCAAGCTTTAACGAGGATTTAGAGGAAAACTAGCGTTGAAACTGAGGGTTTTGCACCCTGGGTTCCCTAATCCCCCACTTTGTTCTGCCAAAGCAAATATACAAAGGATCCAGCAGGAAACTTCCCAGTGCTGCTGCTTTCACTGCGTCAGCTCCTGCTGCTGCTGGGTGGGACACACTGGACCATTGCAGCACAATGCCTCAGCTCTCCACCTCTCCCAGCTCAGATCCGTGCTGCTTTAACTTGAAAACAAAGGAAAATCCTTAACAACAAAAGCCAAAATGTGACTTCCAGTTTCCTGCTGCTGCTCCCCAGAAAGATTTCCCTGTTCAAAAACAGATCTCATCTATTTCCCAGCTCAGGGAATGAGGAATCAAGCAGCAGCAGCAGGCATCCCATTTTGCAGCCCTCAGGAGCACGGGATGAAGATGCAGAGCAGCATCCTACACCAACTGACTCATCTCTCTTGCTGCCTGCATCCCTGTCACAGCAAAGCAGCACGAGGCTGACTGACGCAGGCACCTCTGGGAACTTTCTTAGCTACCACTCCCAAAGTTCTTGCAAATAACATGCAGAGACAAGCATTTCTGACAAGGATGCTTAAAGGAGCAGCGCCTTCACAACAGACACCAGAGCAGCACAGGTCCCTTCCTGATGAGTTACTGGGCCCTTGGTTCAACTAAAGCAACTATAGAGCTTTTGCTGGTGTTAGCAGCATTAGCTTCACCCTTTGTGGCAGCTTGCAGCAAGATGCTCATGAGTCCAACCACTTGCAGCTGTACCAGAGTAACAGCTACTGAAATTCATAAGCAGGGAGTTTTTGCCATTCCAACTCAAACATTTTTATTTCTGCACTGTTACCTTCCCTGTCCTCACGGAGGACAGAGTGCAGGAGGGAAATAAACTTCGGCAGACAAACTGTTGGTTACACTCAGGAGTTAGGAAGAACAAAGAGTATGAGGAGTCACTCCCACTATTTTTCCCAAAATTTCATGCTGAAAGTCCAAGGAGTCTCTGCTAAGCTGCTGCAACTCTGAATTTAAAACTGAGCATTGACTTTTGGGATAAAAGACTTACTTTGTAGGTAGGAGAGCGCACAGGAGATTTCAGAAACTTCCTTCCCCTGCTTTCCCAGCCACATATGGGCCTAACACGTTCAGCAAAGGCCCTCCTGCCAGCCCACCCCCAACAGCACCTGCACACCTCCTCAAGAAGCACTCACTCCGAAGCAATACCACACTCAGGACTCAGAGGGGAAGGGGAAGAAGATCTGGGATTTAAATCAAACTAAAAAAAAAAAAACAAAAACAACCCAGAGATCAACATGAAGGACAAAAGAGGAGAAGCTATGAAAATATGCTGAGATGGTCGAGAAAAGTCACATCAAAATATATTTAAAAACCAGGAATTCCAATCTGTGTGGAATTTTAAACTCCTTTTCCCACCTTTCTGTCTGCACAAGGAATTTTTGTTGTTCCAGGACATGAAACATGATAAGCAGCACCCATTGTGTCCTGAAAGAGTAGTCTTCCCCCCTCCCCCAACTCATCTGAACTATTCCACCATTTACAAAAAAAAAAATTATATATACCTTAATCACCCCACCCTCCCTGTTTTCCATTCTACAGTGGGCAGGAGGAAGAACTGCAAACAGAGCTGACTTTTGATTAAAGTCCTTTTTCACCCCCAACAACATCAATATCCCTGCAATCCGTTGTACACCTTCTGCACAGATCCTTGTTTCAACAGCTGTTTGAGACCTGCAAAAGAAACAAAAGCATTACCATACAACACAAACAGAAGGAGGACTCTGCTGGTGCTGTTTATTACATTTACAGATCAAAAAAAAACAGTCCCTATGGCACTAGTCTCAAGCTTGAGCACACATTTCTGAATAATAGAAAAACACTGACACCACAAGTATCATTTCAACAATAACAAAGAAAACCTCCCCCAAATTCAGAGGCACAGCAGCTTTACTCCTGCTTCTTCAGCATTCCCACCAGCAGAAATAAGACCAAACAGAACCAAACAATAAGCCAATTCCTCCAGGGGGAAAAAGGGAGAAAATCTCTTTCACTACAAACTCAAAGACCAGCACACCACCTCGAGATCCTCACAGCTCTGCAGATGGTTAAAGCTGACTGCCAGAGCTGCTTTGCTATTGAAGTTGAGAACACATTTGTCATCTTAAATACAACTGCATCAAAAAACAGCTTTATGAGCATTTCCAGAGTTGAATTCCAGTAGCTTAGCTCATCTTCTCAGCTCTCTTTAAAGCCCTACAAAAGTCCTCTAGCACTGAGTTTGGGAAAGCTACGTTTAGTTCCTCCTGAACTTGTCAGCTACAGAAACTCACATGAATAACTACAGAAGAAAGGTTTTCACACTTGTAAGTAGTGCCTGGGAATACTACTGACTGCTAGAAGTAGTTCCTAGAGAGTAAGCTTGTTTCTCTTACTTGCATCTACAAAATTTGATAGCACCTTACTGAAAGCCTGCATTTACAAGTTTGAAAGCCACTGTGTTACAAAGGGTTCTGAAGGAGCATCACTAGTTGGATTCAGCCTTTATTAAAGTGCCATCCTCCCCACTCCTGAAAAGCCATTCATAAAACATTTTAAAGAATTGATGACCTGATGTCCTGTCAGCACTCAGGTTTTACCAGAGCCGGATAAGAGAACAGGAAGGTGAGTCAGCACTGTAACCACAATAGCTAATCTATTGGGCTTAGCATGGCCAGAGGAACACTAGCAGGTCTTTACTGCTACTTAAGGGCCAAGTTTGCACAGAGGAAGCAGGTTGCCAAGAATGTATGCCATGCACTTTTTCCAGAGGTAAAATCAGAGAGAATTCCCTCTTCAACATCAGCCAGGACTCCCAGCCCTCATCATGGGACAGCCCTGCTTTGATCAGCACCAGAAAGGATCATGCTGTGCAGGGGCTGGCAGGATCTGAGATTGTGAGGTTAAACTCCCCACATCATGGGTAACTTCCAAATTAAGAGAACAGCAAAAAAAACCCAGCAACAATAGAACCCTACTAAGTTGCTTTAAACCCAACTAAATTCTGCTAGGAGGTATCCCCAAAACAGTATCAGCTTCACAATAACAAGTCCTGGCGGCTGGCTTGCAGCTCAACATGACAGAAGACAGGATTTGTCCTGCCTCAGATCAGCCTGCTGGATTGAGGCCAGAGTCCTGGTGAAAAGTCCTGGGCTGGATGCTGACATTTGTAGAACAGATCAGATTAGGCTGCCTAGAAAAATACCTCAGTGGTTATCAGCTTTAAGCAAAGCACGTATGCAGGGAGAAGCACAACCAGTTATTAAAATCAACTGACTTACTCATATGGAATAAAACCCCTAACATTCACAGAAACTAGCGTAAGAGATGATGTGTCTCCCTGCAACCTTTGCCCTGCTTGTCTACTCTTATACAGTTCTCACTACAGGAACTACTGTGCCTTTAGCCCCATCAGAATACTGGAAAACAGTCCTGGAAAGAATTGGAAGTAGGAGGCTCACAGACACTTCCTGGCTGATGTGTCAGTAGATGTGTCTTTTGGCAATGTAGCCTTTCAAAAGGAAGGACATAACTGAAGAAAGGTGAGCTCCAGTAACCCCAAAAAACATGGCATATCTACCACTTTTGTACCTTGTTTCCTGCTGGCTGGCTCTTAAGCAGCTGCATGCTGGCCTGAAGGATAACCTCATTAGCTCACAGGAAATTTTAGCATTTATCCCCAGTGTTGGGGGCTTGGTTTTCACAACCAGGAATTCTGGTATTTGGTTCTAATGTGCTCTCAGACATTTACTGGAGCCAGCTTAAAGTCCCTCATGACATCACTAGCTGGTGACAGGTCACAATACAACTTGGGCACTTGACTGCCTGCTCCTGCTTGCTGAGCACTGAGGCTAGAACACGGAGAAAAAACAAATCCCAGCAGCGACGGATTACAGACATGAGAGAAGGTCACTACTGATCAACAAGCAATAAATTCCTTGATACCCAGAGAAGCACCTACTGTTTCTCTGACTCTAGAGCATCAGGGTTGTGTTCTCAGTGTCTTCCAACTGTACCAGGAGCCATCCATATGGCTATGAGATAAGAAATTAGGAACAGTGCCAACAATAAGAGAAAGGGATGTTTTGAATGCCAAAGCCTGCAGTCTTCCTCTGAGTGTATGCACTGAACTGCTGCCATACAACATGAACAGACCCATTCCCTCATAAAACTCCTTAAATCCCTACATGTTTGGAGATATTTTAGCACACAAGAATGCGTCTGACTGCTTACCCAGTCACCTTTCCCTAGGAAGGATGGGATTGCTTCAGCAGAATATAAAAACACCCGAAGGCCCTGTGCTTGAACATGCTCATGTCTGTACCACCACCTCCTGGGCATGCTAGCTGGAAGTTCTGACAATCACACAGGATTCTGTCATTGCTTCTAGCCCACAACCTTTTCTCAAACTGCTAAGAGCAGCAGACTGAAAAATCGCAGTTTCATTTGAGAGGTGCTGCTGCCATAAGCAGCTTTGAGAAGAGAATCACAGTGTGGAAGGAAAAGGCCTTGAACTGATACAGACACAGACATTCCAGCCTGGACAGCTGTAGAAAGGCTGCAGGAGGATAAGCTGCAGATGACTGGTCACCCTGGAGCTGTATCTCCAATTAGTAGCTCACACAGCAATGTCAACACAGCAGGAAATGCTAAGAAAAGACCACACAGGGCTTGGCTGTCCTCTACACACTTGAGGAGTGTAGAAAAACTACATGGTTGCTTCCCTCTAGCAGGACAGCTGCCAGAATCAACTAAAACAGCACATTCAGGGTGATTGTACCTTCTTCTGACCAGCAGAAAGGAGTTGGGAAGCAGGGTTTTCTGCAGGAGAGCTGCACTGGTATGTGCAGGAACTTCTTTGCCCCACAACATAGGATGGACCTCCTTGACACCTACCCTGATGCCTTGAGCAGAGCAGCAGAACCCACTGCAAAAGCTGACAAAGCAGAGATCAATCTCCAGCTAGGAGCATAGTATTTAGCCTCCTGTCAGTGTTGGGAGTTCTACACATTTCTCTCAAGAGCCTCCATTTTGGCATGATGCTGATCTCTACTACCAAACAGGTGTATGTGTCTTCATTGCACACTTCTTTCCTACACATGCACAAAGCACTTATGGTAGAGGGAGATGTAGGGATGCACAAACCCTACCCAGTGCTGTACAACACTGCTCACCCTTGACTGTAGAAGAATTTTCACAGATCTTGACTCCTAGAAAGTAGGAAACAGCTTGTGATCTTATTCCAGGAAAGGCCAACCAGATGGGGGCTAAGCCCAGTAAGTCTCTCAGTTCAGACAGATGGCCAGCTACAAAACACAGCACTGCTAGTTGTGTCAAATGCAACATCCCAGTAGTGGCATATCCCAACCTAATCCTGTTCCCTACAAATGCAGCAGCCAAGCTTGCAGGCTTCAAAAGAAAACGGAAATTATTCACAGGGCACTTGGCCAACCATCTTATGCTATTAAAGGAGTAAACGGTAATGAAAATCTTTCCTGAACACTACAGGCCAGTGGTGCAGTTACATCAACTTCTTACCAGCTTCTGTGAGATATCTGTGCAGCCCCAAACCATAACACAGCTTTAAAACACCCACCTTCTCGCTGTTCGCTTGTCAACTGCTCTCTGGGGAACTCCACATCAAATGTTATTATTAGTGAGCCTTTGATATTATTGTTATCAAAATTTGGAAGACCTTCTCCTTTCTTCCACAGTTTGGCCCCAGGTTTAGTAATTTTATCCCGAGCAACATGAACCTAGAGACAAAAGAAATTTGAGAACATTGCTTTTGTTCTGTGCATGCATCCCAGTCCCTCGAATGTCCTCTGCAGCCCACTGGAAAGCTTCAAATGATATTGATTCCTTGCCAAGCCAATGATATTCAAGGGAACCAGGCAGCATTACTGCCAGGATACTGAAGACAACACATGCAGTAGCTACCCTGATGGGCTGGAACCTTGACCCTCACCATGCACTCTTTGTGCCAGGCCTGTTTTAACTCTGGATAAATTGGTCTGGAGGCTTCTAACAAAGGCAGTCACAGAAGGCCAGCAGTTAAATTTTATTTACATAGAGAAGGAAAGCAAATCTTTTCCTCACCTTGTGCCCATCCAAGTGGGTTATATCCATTTCAAAGCCTGTAAGTGCCTCGACCAGCGAGATTGTCACGTTTGTATACAAGTCATCTCCTCTTCTTTCAAAGACTGGGTGCCTGCAGAAATAAAGAGATTGTAATTTTCCTCCTTTTCCCATGGAAAAGGAGATCCTTCAGCTTCCTCCCATCCATTTGTGAAAAGAGTTGGGAGAAATCAGAGAGGAAGTCAAGAATGAATGAAATTTAGCTTTGTTTTCCTGTGTGCAAAGAGTGCTACTAATAGCCTTTCTATTTCTAGAGCAGTGAGTGGTAAGGAGTGTCAAGTTGTGACTCACTCAGTTTTTCTTACCAGTACTTTCTTACAATAGGGAGATAGTATGTTTATGGAAAAAGGAGATATCTCATGTGATTCAGGCAGGAGCTAACCTATGCCAGAATTCAAGGGAAACAGAAGTGGAATATCCTTTCATCGTCTAACAGCAGTGAATTCTCGAGCATCCTCAGGGTTGAGCATCCTGAACTGCCTTGAATACTTGAGCCTTGGCTGTACCAGCACTGAAGGATTAAGCTAGACACAAGCCAAGCAACACTAGCCAGAAAACTGTTTGCAAGCTTCCTTGATAGTAACCAGAAAGAGTGGTCTAACAAGGCCAGGCACTTACTTGAGAACTTTTATTCGGAAACGCAAATCACCTGGCTCCCCATCCACGTGGGGTTCCCCTGTGGAGGAAGAAGAGCTGTTTATCCAGTCAGAAACAGATAAAGAAGCCAAGCAGCATATTAAACACAATAGAGATTTGCAGCTCATGTGTCACAGGGAGAAAAAACAACTACTTGATTCTCACGTGACTAAAACTCTGCTTACATGTATTTCTTCTACTAAACAGTTTAGGATTTTCAGTGTTACCTAAAATTCACCCCTCTCTGCTGTTCTGAAGACCTGCCCACACAGCAATGATAACCAACCATTATTTTTTAAAGGACATAATCTCCTTCTACAGGAGGGATTCTTTCACATACTGAAGTCTGAAGCAGATGTTCTTTTTCAAGTTATCATCTGAAACACACGATTTAGGGCTTTTTCTTTTTTTGGTGTATTTTGTAGCAAGAAAGGGAGAGGATCTCAAGAGTGTTATCCAGACTTGCAAAGACTATTGGTACTGGATTTGAGCAACACATTCTGGAAAAAAAAAAAAAACTTCACTTAAAATGTCCTGATCATTTACCTAGAGCAGAGCAAAGCCACTTTAACACTGCCATTAAGATCAGCCTTGTATTAAAGAAAAGAAGCAAGTCACGAGCTGGGCACTGCCCATATACATACCCTCACCAATGAAGGGATATTCCATACCATCCCTCACACCTGGCTCTATCTCCACTTCTAGTGTTCGTTCTTCATTCACAAGCCTGCAAAGGGGAATATGCAAGCACAGTTCTCAGCATTAGGTGGTACCACCTGCTTTGTTACTGGAGAATGAGAACACCCCCACAAATCACACATTCCTTGCTTACACCTAGAGCTGGAGGCCAAGTGCTGCCTTTCTCACTCATTTACAAATTGAGTAAGTTCCTCATCTAATAGATCTACCCATTTCTACTTTAATTATTAAAGACTGTCTCCTTGGAAATGAGAAGCCTGCGTTAAGCACTCTGAAATTCCCCAGATCTTCCCGGTTGTACAGACGCTCTTCTCCCTCTAGTGGCAGATTTTTGAATTAACAGCATATAGCACCGAAGAGCACAACTCACTTGACATTGGGACATTCATCACAAACAACTTCTTGAGTCATCTGGAAACGCCCAGGGCCCAGCTGTGTGGTCCTCATCTCCTGCCGGCAATTGCATTTCCGTTTGCCAGGTGCCTGTCTTGCCACTGGCTTGTTCCTGACAACCTGCAGCAAAGAGGAAGAAGCTGACACCAGTACACAGGCCAGCACCCCAGCTCTTGATAACTCAATTTGAATGCAATTTGTTGTTTTGTGTACGTGATCTTGAAAGAAAAAAAGACAACAAAACACACTCTGCACTGTTTTCACCTTACACCTCTTCCTAATCACACAAGAAACACCCAACCACCAGAAAATCCCTTTTGCCACTTTCTTTATCCATGTACATCTCTTTAACTAGGAATGGTAGCACTGACAACTTTTATGATAACTTCTTTGTACTACATACATACTAGCCAAAATTGAGTTCCTCATTTATCCAGATATGTGTAACACAAACTCATGCAACATGAACTCTAATACATAGTATAGCAAAGATTGTCAGCACCAGAAACACAGCTTGCTTAAAGAAAATTAAAACGCCACCATATGTTTGAGCATGTAATCCAGAGATTCATTGACATGTTTGGCCACAAAGCAGCAGTGAAAAATGCACAGCATAGTGTTGCCAAGACTGGCTGAAAATAGGAAAACTAAGCTCTATGTTTCAGTCCATGAATGGGCCTCAAATACCACCAAGAGCTAAAGGAAACAGAATTTTCTTAGCTAGGCACTGACAGTCAGTAAGTTACTATCATGAGAAGCATTGTTAAGTCAAGTTGCCAGATAGCACAGAAATAAACACATTGTTCCTTCAGTTAACAAATGGCTTCATGACATCCTCTACTATCAGATACTATGTAAAGAAGCATCTATTCCAGTTCTACTCTTTCGAAGATTCAAACCAAGCAGCAGCAAGGCCAGTCATCTGAAACTTGGTAGCACTGGAGAGACCAACAGGCCAGCAAACTTACTTCTACAAAGTTTCCTGAATACACCTCCTCCAGTGTAACGTCCAGGTCCACAATGATGTCGCTGCCCCGAGGGATGTTCCTGTCCTGTTGGCGAGGGTTACCTCCAAACATGAATCCAAAGTCCCCAAAAAAGCTGGAGAGAAGCACACCAGTTAGTTCAGGAAGGGAATTCTGACCAAAAAGACAGCCACCTAAGGCAGGAGCAATGGGTGCCTGGAAGAGATTTCTTTGCTTAAGAAAACCAAACTGTCTGTGTGGGAAGACAACACTGGTTTCCATTCGCTGCTCTTGGAGAAATGACCAACACCAGACAAATGAGAACAACATGTGGAATATCTGCATATTTCTTCACATCCTTAACTGTCACTTCGCATCACTGCCTTCTGACTAGGTGAGAGGCTTTAACACTGAATTGACGCACATCAAATACATGCACAAGGATCACAGAATTAAAGCTCTGTGGAATAACTTGAAGTGACAAAACCTCCTTACTGTGAGAAGATGTCTCCATGGGAACTCTGGTGCCCATCCTTCAACCCCTCCTCACCATACGCATCATACTGTTTCCTCTTCTCCTCATCTGAGAGCACCTGGCAAAGGGACACAAAAGAACAGGGTGTTCACCCACAGGGCACCTGGATGCTTACATGAAACTCAAAGAGAAGCTTTGCCAGAGCTCTTAGCTGGGGGACAAGTAGCAGTGCTTTACAGTACAAAAGCATTGGCTAGAACTTGCCTGCTGTGCTGGGAAGTTAAACATTTATTGGTTAAATTCATAAAAGTTAGAATTAATTTATTAAAACAACAGATGTAACATAGAAATATTAAAAATATTGAGTTTACTCTGACTGAGTTGAGAGAGACTCAGAAGGGAATAATAACTCAAAATCATTTCTTACAAAGCAGGAACTGCTCCTCCACAAAAATAAAAAAGCACATAACACATAACAGGGCCCTGGTTTCTCTGTTCTTGAAGAGTGTGGAACACATTTATCTGACAAATACTTCATAACTATTAGCTATGATAGCAAGTTTACCTCCCAAGCTGAACCTGCTGAGTACAATAATTCCACACCAACTTCAACACTGACACAGTTCCTAAGGGCAGCAAAATTCAGGAGCAGTCTCAGTACTGAGGCAGAGAAACACATCCCACTAGACAGCACACAAGATTGTAAAGCTTTAGTTTTAATTCCTAGGTATTATCTTTGCTTTTGTTCACCACTTCACAGATTTCCAGTCAGATTTTGCCTTCCTTCCCTTTCCTGGCCTGTTGGTTATTTTTTGGAAGGCTCAAGATGCTACGTTACCTTTCAGAAAGGAGTGGAAAGAGCTGGAGAAGCTGGCTTAATGATGAAAGCCAGCCTCAAATTATAGGTAATGATAAATGGCAGCAGCAAGAAAGGTAGAAGAAAAACAAAACGGTGACTTTAACTACTAGCTTCACCTTCCCAGGACTAAATGTAAGAGTTCATTTCTCCCTTTGTCACCTGGGATATGCAATACAACACCCATTTGAGAAAAGTGGGATAAGTTCCACAATCCATTAGTAGACTACTAACAATATTAGTTATTGTTAGTACAATAGAAGAAAGGAATAAAGGAATAAACAAGAAAGAAAGGAATAAAGAGTACAGAATATTTGCTTTTCCATTCACTTTGCTTCCTTAGCAGGCTTCTGGAAGTTTAAGAACACAGCACTCCAAATACTGTAAAGAGAGTTCTTGTTTATGTTAGGTTGCTTCAGAAGCAATGCAATTCAGCAGATAAACTGAAAACCAAAGATGAATTCCAGCCCTGGAAGATAAAAATTACCCTGAGACTAACAGCTGCTATATGAAGGAGCCTCTGAAACTGAAACATCTATGCTTGCACCACACAGCTGAGGGGTTAAAATCAGGCTATTTAAGTGAAGGACACTGAGTAGTTTAATTAACCTGCTTTCCCCACACTTACCCCCCTGCCTCCCCCTGCCCCGGAAGACTTCTCTCTAGGCAGTCAGCAAGACTAATCTTGAGCAGCAGCATGGAGCCTGATGCTTTATGGTAAAAACAACACTAGTTTAGGGGAGAGTGTGTTGCATTTGTTTTGTCTGTGCTAGCAACACAACTCCACATCTTATGCTGAACAAGTTGGGCTCTGTATTTTGGTAGCACTTCGGTAAAGGAAAGGAAAGTAGACTGTCAAAAGAATTTTTGCTGCCTGTACCACTATGTCCTCTACTGCTTTGTGATTTTACAGCTGTTTCTTCAGCAGTATTTTTCTGTAGGAAAGACCCTTTCAACTGCTACTGTGGCTAAGACATAAACTGGGACTCTGGACACACAGAGAAATGCTCCTCATGAATTAAGCACTGTCAAGTGTGACAAAACCCCAGCTCACATAAACTACTCCAAGCCCACAGCTTTGAAGCATGCAGAATGCATCAGCCTTCAAATCAGAGATGGTAAATTCTAGAACTCCCACCAAAGAATTCTTTACACTCATCAACTTTGCTGTGAGAGCTAAGCCAACTTTTCAAATAATAGAAGTTGGAACTAAAAAGAGTTCTAGCTATAACACACAAGAAAATGTGTTTTTTCTTCTGAGCAAGGAGGAATACATTCAAGCTGCTTCTCACCTCATTTCCTCATTCATTTTATATTTACAAATCAGAAGAAGGAAGCAGCATCAGGGACAGCAGCAGGAGCCCTACTACAGCCACAGGTTCAGCCACAGCATCAGCCTGGGCAGGAAGCTACCCCCTTTCCTCCTGAAGATAACACTGGGATCCAGATTGTCCTGTGGCCTGACTCCTCAAGGCCAGCACAAACCTCCTACCTAAAGTGCCAGCCTAGGCAGGGTCCCAGTGGAGCTGCTCCCGTGCATTTCTGTTGGGTCAAAACTCTCTTCCTGGGGAGCCTTCCTCTGCTCCATGGGGAGAGAAGGAAGAAAGCAGCAGCAACAGAAGGGGCCAGGCTCTTTTCATTGGTGTGCAGTGACAGGACAAGGGGCATCGAGCAAAGACTGGAACACAGGAAGTTCCATACAATCACAAGGAATAATCCCTTTACTGTTGAGGGTGACAGAGCACTGGAACAAGCTGCTCAGATTGGTTGTGGGGTCTCTCTCCTTCTCTGGAGATGTACAAAATCCACCTGGATGCTTTCCTATGCAACCAACTGTAAAGAACCTGCTTTAGCAGGTGTGTTGGACTACATGGCATCCAGAGGTCCCTTCTAACCCCTTTGATTCTGAGATGGGAAGCAAAAGGACAGAGAACATGAAAGAAACACAGCCCACCAAGCAAAGCAGAGGAAAAAACAGACTTTGACTTAAGCGTTGGGTAATAAAATAGTTGATGTGTGATTTACGTCGCATGTGATAGGAGTATAGAGATAGATATAACAGAATTCACAGAATGGCCTGGGTTGAAAGAGATCTCAAGGATCATGAATCTCCAACCCCCCTGCCACATGCAGGGCCACCAACCTCCACATTTAATACCAGACCAGGCTGCCCAGTTCCCCATCCAATCTGGCCTCGAACACCTCCAGGGATGGGGCATCCACAACCTCTCTGGGCAGCCTGATCCAGCACCTCATTTCTTACACATACGGGACTCCAGCAATGATTTTTCACCCCTTACCACATTTATTAGAAGGCAAGCCAACAGCCTTTCATTTCCTACCAGCCAAAACTTACATCACGCTCTACACATACACACAAACAGGTTCCTGTGTCATCAACACAGCTGATGCATGCCCATTTCACACTCAAAGAGCTATTAATAAGATCAAACAGCTCAGGCTCCATGCTCCCCCAGCTAGGTGAACTGCTGCCCTTTATTGCCCTCAAACAAGTGGATATCCCAGGTCAGCCTGGCAGCCTCTCTTTGCTTTGTTAACCAGGTGCCATGCCTGAAATTCAGTACAGATTTAACAGGTGAGGAGGGATGACAGCAGTGCCCTATAGAGAATCATTTCTGTTTGCTAGAACTCATCCCAGCCGTTCTGTACCTCAGCATTGCCCTTATAACCACATGCTGGGTGCCTCCCAGACAGACCTAGCCTCACTCACAGCACTGTACCACAGTGTCCTCCCGCTGCCTTCACTGCCACCCCCAGCCCTCCTCCCCCACCTCATAGGCGGCTCCCAGGTCCTGGAACTTCTCCTGGGCCCGCGGGTCGTCGGGGTTCCTGTCTGGATGCAGCTGCAGCGCCAGTTTGCGGTACGCCTTCTTGATGTCCTTCACGGAGGCGCCGCGGGACACCCCTAGGATCTTATAGAAATCCCTCCTGAGGGGGGAGAGAGAGAGAGAGCGGGAAGGCCCCGTCAGCGGGCCAGGCGCCGGGGAGCCGTGGGCCTACGGGATGAAGAGAGGGAACGAGGGAAGGGCAGCCCCCTGGGGAGCACTCACCCGGCGGCGGCCTCCCCGCAGAGGCAGAGCAGGAGGAGGCAGACGCGGCCGAGCCAGCCGGGGGCCATGGCCGGGCCGAGAGGAGGCCGCCGCCCGCACTCCGTCCCTCACACACGAAGCCGGCGCCCGGCCGCGGCCGCCAGCCAATGAGAGAGCGACCCAACCGTAGCCGCCGGCCATTGGGGAGCGGCCCAGCCCCGCGCGGCTCGAGCTGACAGCCAATCGCCCGCGCACACTTCACCACCGCCTCGCGGTCGCGGCCCAATCGCATCGCAGAGAGTCGGAAGGAGAGGACGCCGACCAATCGCGAGGCGTGCCGCTTCTTCCCGCCTCCGCGCCGGCTCCGGTAGCCAATGGCGAGCGGCTCCCGAGGGTGGGCGGGAAGCGCCCTGTCGTTGGTTCGCGCGGCCGTCATGGCGGCGGCCGTGTCGCTGTGGCCGCGGACGGAGCCGCTGCTGCTGGGCGCGCTGCCCGTGCCGCCGCCCGCTCGCTTGGGCCCCCACTACCTGCGCAAGATGGCGGCGTACGCGCGGGCGCGGGCGGCCGAGGGCTGTTACCCGCGGCTGAGCTGGCCGCGCTGGCGGCACATCGCCTGCGGCAAGCTGCAGCTGGGCCGCGGCCTGGCCTGGCTCTACTTCGAACGCTTCCACGACCTCCTCCCGCCGCCCGATCCGCCCCGCCGCCTGCAGCGCGCCGAGGCCGAGGCGGCGTGTGGCAGCGCCGAGGAGCTGGAGCGGGAGCGCGGCAAGGCAGGGCGCGGGGCCGGGGCGGGCGCGGGGCGGCCGGCGACACCTAACGGCCTCTCCCCTCTCGGCAGCTCTCCGTGGACACGCTGCGCTTCCTGCTCTTCCTCTACCTGCAGCAGCTGAACAAGGCCTCCCTGCGGACGTCTCTCATCGGCGAGGAGTGGCCCAGCCCCAGGGCCAGGGCTGCCGGGCTGCCGGGCAGGGCCGCGGGGCACAGCAAGGTAATGGAGCTGTGGGGAGGGGAGGCTGCCCTGCTGGGCCTTCCTGGGCAGAGCCTGGGCAGAGCCGCCCTTTATAGCAGATTTGATGCGTTCCCTGTAACTGTTGCTAATAAAACTTCAGTGGTTATTTCTATATAGCCGTGTGTAGCCTGGAGAAGGAGAGGCCTCGTTGAGAGAGAGGCTCAGGGAGAGGCCTCGTTGCTTTTTGTAACTCACAGAAAGGAGAGCATAGCAACTTTAGGTTTAGTCTCACAGGTAACAGCGATAGATGAGAGCTGATGGCCTCAAGTTTCACAAGGCAGGGTTAGATGTGGATGTTTCTTCTCAGGAAGAGCAGTGAGGCACTGCACAGCTGCACAGGGAGGTGGGGTTCACCGTGCCTGGAGGTGCTCAGAGCTGTGGAGATGTGGCACTGAGGGATGTGGACATGGTGGGGTGGGCTTGGTTGTTGTGAAGCTTCTCTCTTAGTCTTTGTGGTTTTCCTTTTAAGAAGCCACAGCCTTTGCACTTCCTTATGGCCAAACAGGAAGCTTTTCCTGCACTGGAAACTGCTGCCTTATGCTTTGTTGTAGAATAAGGGGATTCCAAGGTGCTCCCTAGCAAAGCTACACAAAGTCCTATTTCAGAGGGGCTGGAATACATCTGGCCACCTATGGATCAAGAGCATGAAATTGTGAATGTCTCGTGTAAAGCATTCTGAAAGAAGCGAAGTAAGGTGGATGTATTGGGTGCAGGTTGTGGGAAGGTCTGTATTTGTCAGTGAAATTGACAGCATTGTCATAAATGCATTGTCCACATGCCTCAGCAGATTTCTGTTGGGGCTGTGCTGTTATGAGCTGCACAGGCCTGGGAATGGAACAAGCTGAAACCATTAAAAATGGGCTGGGTGATCTTATACTAAAAGATTTAAAAAACAAAGAGAAAAATAAGAGAAACTGATAAATGGTGGTGGGTCAAGTAGCACTGGAGCATCCAATGGAATTGAAAAGTTGATGTTTTCTTCCAGCTGTGCTTCAGGTGCAACTATTGCATGTAATTCTGAACAGGAACAAGAGCTGTTCCTGTGTTCCAAAGGATCTTTATCACAGTGCTGCGGTCTCTAGCTGCTGCTGTAGGTGTGTTATTCCTGCACCCAGCATAGTGAAGACAATGTGTAATCATAACTGAGTATTACTTCTGCACCTTGGTGGCCAGCAAAGCTTGTCTTTATTGGTGCCAGCTACAGCTCCAATCTCCCACTTTTCTTCAAGTGGAGCCCTTTAAAATTTGAACTAATGCTTCTTTCAGAGGCTGGTTGGTTTATTGGTCTGCTTGCTTGTGAAGGAATGACCCTCTGCTTTTTTTATTATCTCTGGCTCCACATCAGAAGCACTCAATCACAGCTGAAGGTCTGGAGCAGATGCAGCGATCTTTCCAACAGACACATAGCAAGACCTTGGCTGTCAGTTACTGATTTGTTTCCTCCCTTCAACACTAGCAGCAGCTAGCTGAATTTGTGCGGGAAGGATTGTAGAAGAATCTGCTTCTGCTTTCTAAAATGAAATATTTGATACTTGGAGTTAGAATGACACCATGTTTCTTTTTTTGGTGTGCTTGATAGTGAATCCAGCTTCCTTTCTATGTGTGGAAAGAGTAGAGCAGCAGGACCGAGTTTTACTTGCTTTCATTCTCTTACAATTATAAGCAAAAATGCATTGTACAGAGTTGGTGGAGCTTGTCAGCTATGTGAGAATTCACCTTGTTCTTATTTTTCTGCCCCTAAGAACTGGAATGACCAGGACCACCTTGCCTTTGTGCTCACACACCTCTCAGAGATGCTGGAGCTGCTGCTGGAGCCAGAGCAGCTCGGTGCCTCCTCGCACGCCACCCACAACAGCGTGGTATCCTACGAAGCTGTCTGTGCCCTCAGCTTCCTCATTGAAGGGACTGTGAACAACTCGAGGACCATCCATCCTCTGCATGAGCTTGCCCTCTGGCAGCCCTGCCATGGGCAGAACGGCTACTCTAAGATCTCCAAAACCTTCTCCTTCCCCAAACTAGAGACTTGGCTGCGCTCCTGCCTGATAATAAATCCTTTTGGAATGACTGCCTGCCTACGATCTGGGAAGAAGCTTGCGTGGGCACAGCAAGGTATCTGCAGGTTTTACCTTAGAAACAAATTTCCAGTCTCGGTTCTTCTTGGTGACCAGGCACCTGGCAGTGGCATTGTGACTGCCTGTTTCCTCCTGCTGTTAGTAAATATGGGGAAAGTGATAGCTTTGGGATGAGTCTGGGAGATTAGAGGGTGTGCTGTGTGATGCCTGTGTGTAGTTTCTGGTCCTTGGATTACTTTGTGAGCAAACATGAATGACTTCGCTTTAAAAGGCCCCTCTGAGTGAGGTCATTTATCCCTACCATCATTGGTCATTGTTTAGCTACAGCCAGACATGGAAAAAAGATAATGTGATGTGTCTGTGGCAAAGCTGAGGACTGATCAAGGTTCTCATGCCTTGAATCACAACTCTTCACCTGCAAGGGCATTGCAGAAGAGCAGAGGCACCCTACCCCTTAAAAGGATGGATAGTAGGACTTGTGTTTGGTGACACAGTGTCACTGTACTGCTGAAGTTTGGGGCTAATTATTTCCTTGAGGGATTGCTGAGTGATGTGGACAGTGAACCATCATGTCTATTTCTCTCTGGGAGACGTGTATGTCCTTTTTTTTTCTTTTTTTCTTTCTTTTTTTCTTTTTTTTTTTCTTTTTCAATATGAATGTATTGATTAACTTTATTTTGCAGTTGAAGGAACAACCAGGAGAGCAAAGATTGCCTGTAACACTCGTGTGGTGCCTGAGGTGTCCCCTATGGTGATAATGAGCCAGGTTTACAAACAGACACTGGCCAAGAGCTCGGACACCTTGGTGGGTGCTCATGTCAGAATTCATCGCTGCAATGAGTCCTTCATTTATCTCCTCTCTCCTCTTTGGTGAGGTTTTGTTCTCTTGAGGCACAGCCAAATGTCTTTTCAGCATTTGTTCAAGTGCTAAGCTCTTGTTAAGCTCTGGTTGCAATCTTCCTTGCTCACTGTATCTTTTTTGTTTTGCAGCTCTGTGACCATTGAGAAGTGCCAGAATAGCACGTTTGTGCTCGGCCCTGTGGAGGCATCTGTTCATGTCCACAGCTGTGACAATATCAAAGTCATCACTGTTTGCCATTGCTTGTCTCTTTCCTCCACGACTGGCTGTACTTTTCACATTCTGACTCCTACCCAGCCTCTTATCCTTGCGGGAAACCAAGCAATCAGCTTTGCCCCTTTCCACACCCATTACCCCATGTTGGAGGACCACATGGCTCAGGTGGGGCTGGCCACTGTGCCCAACTACTGGGACAGCCCCATGCTGTTGTGCAAGGAGGACAGTGATGCCAGTGTCTTCCGCCTCCTGCCACCCGTGGACTTCTACACCTTTGTGATTCCTTTTGAGATGGAAGGAGACACCACAGAGACACCAGGGGGGCTTCCCCATGCCTATCAGAAGGCACTGAATCAGCGAGAGCAGAAGGTACAGATCTGGCAGAAAATGGTGAAGGAGGCGTGCCTGACCAAGTGAGTGCTGTATCCTGAAAGCCATCTGAACTGTGCTGAAGCTCAGCACAGCTGTACATCATTCAGTGTGGTTCAGAAAAATGCTTTAGTACTGGGTTGGTTTGTGTGGGCTACATCTTGCCACTTCTAAAGCATTAATAGTTGGCAATCTTGAGATCCTGATCTTTGGCATTATAGTGAGGGAATCATGTTTACAACTGTAAATCTGAAAAAATGCTTTGCTGTGACTGCATTTTCTTAACCTGCAAAGCTGAAGGAAAACATGCCTAGATGTTGCTGAGGGCCAAGGTGAGGTGTCCTGGTGGCATGAGTTTATGGCTTCCCTTATGCTGGGTATTGTCTCCTTGCTGTCTCTGTTCTGCTTCCAGTGCTGCATGCTGACATGGGTGAGATCTGGGCCCGTACCCTGAACAACAGCTCCACCAATTGTTGGCCTGCAGCTGATTGGTGATCATTCTTAACCCCAACCTTTACAGTGAAGTTTTAAATTACTGTCCCACCTGTTGTTGAGGTGAGCTAAGCATGTGCATGTGGACTGTTAGAATATATCACCTCATGGACAGTAGCTTTTAAAGTTCCCTTTAAAATCCTCTGCCCAGCTTTTACTGTACTAGCTGGGCCATTCCTGGCTGGTCTCATGTGTTGATATGCATCTGTTTGCTCTCTCAACACCTGTTGTTGAGCTCTGAAAGAGTCCACCTTGTTTTCTTTGCCAGCGTGCTTTGTTGAGCAGTCAGGTGTAAAAATCTGTCAGCTTCAGTTTTGCTGCTGTATCTTTTGTGAACCATTTTGATGCAGCAATCTGAGGATCTTCCTTTGCAAATACAGAATGGAGATAGAAACCCAGATACTTGGTTTTAAAGTATTGAAGAGTGAAAACAACTTTTGATCTTTCAAAAAGCCATATTTGAGCTCTCCACGTTTTCTTCCTGTTCTGTGTGCTCAGTCCATGAGTTACAGTGGACATGTAACTGGGTGCAGAGAAGCAGTGATCTTAGAGAAGTTTAGTTTGTGGGACGCACAGAACATGAAAACCTGTTGAGTCAAACAGTCAGCACTTCCCATCACTCTAAGCTGCAGAGCTGTAGTCCATTTGGTTGTTTTCAGAGCAGCTCCCTGAGCTTTCTCTGCCCCTTTCTGAACACCAACTGCCTTTGTGCCAAGAGCAGAGGAACCTGCCATTTGAAAGAGCTCCAGAGTAGGAAGGAGAAAGTATCCTTAATGAGGATTTTGCTGCAAGCAGAGGATGGCTGAGCAGTAGTGATCCAGTAGTGGTGACTCCACTACAGAGATGTAAAAACCTTCAAACCTCTCAGCCTTGCATTTTGAAGAGCAGCAGAAAGTTTTAACTTCAGCTTCTGTGCTGGAGTCATCCACTGTGTCTGTCAGTCTCATCTACAGTGCTCCTTCTACTTCAGCCATTGGAATATGCAATAGAAGCCAAGGCTGCTGCTTCTCACCCTGTTTTTATGAACGTGTTTTACCTACCAAAATCTAACAATTAAAGAAATATTAGGTGGTATAGATGATGCAGCCTCTGCAGCAGAGGGTGTGACAGCATGGTACTGGAATGGCTTATTTCATGGGAAAAACATGCCAGAATTAGAACCTTCCTGGAAAGAAGCTGGGCAGCTGGCAGTATAAGGTCTTTCTAGCTGTCTCTTTGCCCACAGGGCACAGAGAGACAACCCAGAGCAAGCAGATTGTCAGACTTGTAGAAAGAAGAAAAGCTGCTGGTGTTTGAACAGGGAGGTGAAAGAGTAAGAAGAAGCTGTCTGAAGGAGGAAAGTGGGGGGAAAAAAAGAATGTAAATCCTGTCAGGCTAAAGGTAAAAGCCCCATAAGACAGGACCAGAAAGAGAGCTTGAAGAACAACTTGTAAAAGCGTAAAATCCTGCTTGCTCATTTTCTGAGCACATCAGAGAGAAAGCCTTTAAGGATCTGTAGCAGATGGAGGTATATAATAAGCACTTGGAGAAGATAAACTCTAAGAGAAGAAAGAAGTGACTGCCTTTGTGTTCATATTCACTGGGGAGGAATTTAGGTTAGTTTCCAGCTTAGAAACCTGCTTTCTGGGGGATCTGTCAGTGAACGTTTCCAATGGAAGTGACAGTGCAAAGAAGAGTCTTTAACTTGAAAAAAGGGTATAGCAGGCCCCTCTGAAGCTGAGTGACACAGAAATGTATGGGGATGGTTTGCTGCTTTTTCCCAGTACATGATAGGAGCATCAAAACAAATTAGGAATGGGGTCAAAACAAAACCATGCAATCTCCACAGGATATTGGAAACATTTGTGTTTTATGTAGGTTCAGAAATGAATTGTGTAAGCTCATAGGGGAAAAAAAAAAAAAGAATATCTGTCAGGAGCTATTCAAGAATAGAAATTCAGGAGCTGAGCTGATCTCAGATGGCTGGGATGCTACTCTGGAGGAATACTGCCATGAGCCTGTGCTGCTCTTGGACATGTGACTGCTGATAGAGCGCCTGAGCTAAGTGATGCATCCTGTTGTTGCTGCTCTTAGCAAAAACAGAACAGTTGTTTCCCTCAAAGGAAATTATTTGAGGAGCGCTGTTTATATACGTATTGTTTTCCTGATCTCCATCCTCTCTTCAAATGCTGTCAGAACAAAATTTTATGTCTTCGGTGCTTGAGCACTCGCTGCTGATCTGTGCTCTGAGAGTAAAGCAGAGGAGGCCTTATGGAGCAGAGTGGCTGCTAGTGAAGTGGGGAAGCTTGCATGCCTGAGTTCTGTCTTTGGTGTTAATTTTAGTCGTATTCACTTGGTAGAAGCTTACTTTTCTGGGCACGGTTCTTGAATCAAGCCCAGCTCTTAGCTTGGATTTGTAGAGGCTTGTTTTGGAAGTGAAGTTCATAAGCACAGAAAAGTGTTACTTCCGCATGCTTCTTTTCTGATCATCTTTTTGTTGCAGGGATCAAAGGAAGCAGTTCCAGATGCTGGTGGAAAGCAAGTTCTATGAATGGCTGATCCAGACAGGGAACCGTCAGCAGCTGGATAGCCTCATCCCTCCTGCTGTGGGCTCCAAGCAGGCTGCAGGATAGCATCGTGTTCCTCTGCACCAAAAGGAAAGGAAGGGTGAGTAGAAGGCATCTCTTTTGATTCTTCTGTTCCTAGAGGAATTGTCCCATATTGGTGTGCACAGCCTAGGTAGAGGTGGAAGAGGCTGGGAGCTGTTCAGTGGAGATTCTCCCAAGAGTCTTGTGTTTGGTTTTATTTGTTTTGCAGTCAGAACCTCTTTTTAGTTGAGTCTGTTATGTGTGTACTCAGCACCTCCTTTGTTCTCTGCAGGTGGTTTGTTGGGAACACCTTTGTGTGTCTGTAGAGGCAGATAGGCACGTTCTGTGTGACTTGAAGTAAAAACTTGAGCAGCCATCTTTTGAAAGATGTGTATTAATATCTGTGCTTACCTGTCTCACTTTTTGCTTAAGAGAATTGGGTGAGACTTCACATAACTGTTACTCTGCAGTCTCTTTCTCTTCCCAAGCAGAAGTGGTTTAGGAGCTGGAGGCAAGGTCTCATTATTCTCTTCTACTGCATGTTTCAAACCCTAAGAAATGTTTTTATTTCCTTTTATTTTTCCCATTTTTCTTTGTCTTTAATAAGTGTTGGGCATAAAATCTGCACCTCTGCTTTGTTGTAGAGTTGTGGGAACAGACAGCGTTGTCCTGAAAACATTTCCCATAAAGACTTTGCGGCTGTTCTGACTGCACACGCTCGATGTGGATCTGATGCCCAGCCTGTGTGTGGATTTGGACATCTCTCTGGTTTAGGATTTGTAATAGCTGCTGCTTTCCCAGGAATGTACTGTAACTGTTCTGTTGGTAAATGAGAAGGAAGGTGCGTGCTGCTGGAGGATGATGAGGAAGTACATGTGCCCCTTGCTGCAAGGAGGCTGGTGTCATGGTTACCATCTGTGGTGTGTGTGTGTGTGTCCAGCAAAGGAGCCTTTCCTGATGTACAGCTGGATGCAGGGCCAGCTGCACTGTTTTTATAAATGTGAAAAACAAATGTTTGATCGTTTATGAATGAAATGCTATAGATTTTTTAATATGAAGATAGCACTTAAGCAATGTGATTTGGGCGGAATTACCTTTCTTGTATATTTGGCTTGTTTGACAGATGTCAATAAAACTCAAGGTAAGCCTGACACAAGCTCTAGGGAATGAGTTTTACCTATACAATTATTGTTAGGGGAATACACCATCTTCACTGCTTCAATGAACTGTGTACTGGTCAGCTGAGAGAAAAGCACTGATTTCTTAATAGCAGTGGAGCTGAAGTCTTTGCAGGCTGTCTTAGTGCAACATTTTGACACAAACACAATCTCCTACATTTATTATTTCTTAGTGGACTATCAGCTTGAATGACTCCCACTCTCATTTTGTGTTGATAGACTCTCTCTTGGGGAGGTGTGCTCATAGCTGAGCACCTGAGTGAGCTAGGCAGAGTAGGCAGAGGCACTGATCGCATGGATGACTGAGTGCAGCAGCTGTGTGATTTGTTAGGAGTTATCCACACTGAGGGTGGATGGAGGCAATGGAATTCAGTGCCCTGGGGCTCATGGCTGTCGTGCTGCTAGAATTTTTCAGAAGGTCTCTCTAGATTCCTAGGGAGACAGTCCATTTGAATCAGGAAGAGGAGTTAGGATTGGGTACTGATGTGGGGTCTGGTGAATGCGTGCTCATCGTTACCAGCTGAAGATTCGGCATCTTCAGAAGTTGTGCCTTAGGAAAGCATTTGTAAAGCTGAGCTTTTCAGTATCTGAGGGTGAGTCTTCCTCCAGACCTTCTCTGTCCTCTGTCATCTTGGCTGCTCAGTGTCACTTGAGGACCAGACCTTGTTTTCTGTCGACACCTGAGCTCTGGGTCAGTTCTTAATGAAAGCAAAATTATATTCATCTGCAGCTTTCATTCTTTGGGAGTGATGGCAGTTCTAGTTCCGCCTCTGTTTTCAGTACTATGTAAAGCTGTAAGATTGAATTCTAAGGCATTAGGCAATACAAGAGGAGTTTTTCATATTTAGTCAGAGTGCAGTGGAGCTTGGAGATGTCCTGCTGAACCTGCTGGATTGCCTTTTAGAATGAACTCAGTTCTGGTTGGTGTCTCCACTGCTTGCTAGCACTGAGAGCTGTGAGCAGCAGTGCTAGATGAATCAGGACACCTAAAATGGGAAGAGGATGAGGTACTGCTCTGCCTCTGTCACTGACAGTTACATGTGAGTGTAACTTCCTACAAGGTGCAGCAAAGCTGCAGCAGTGTGGGACAGCAGAGAAATAAGGTCTGTGTGTTTCAGGCACGGCTGTGCCAGCTTCATGCCCCTTTGTCTCACTAAGCTTTTGGGATGCTGCAGTGAATAGCTGCAGAGGTGTTTGTTATAACGCAGTGGCTTGGGGAGAGGTGTGGATGGACAGAAGCCAGCATTCCTCTCCCTCCCTGCTTAGTGGATCAGATGAGGGCAGAAGAAACGATTCCTTGCTTGAATTGCAAGCAGTGGGGTAAGATTTTTTGAGTGGAATTTATCACCGGTAAATTTTGTCAGCTCAGCTGAGGATATGCTATAAAAATACACTGCGTCTCTGCTGCGCAGATGTTTCCATTGTGGGCTTTTGAAGTAGATCCTTTAAGCAGAATTGTTCCTTGCAACTCTGTGCTCTACCCTGTGCATTTGTCCACTCTTTCCTGGCTGCACCCTTCATTATTTGGGAATGTTCTTCAATAAGTACTTGAGTTTCTTCTTTACAGACGGGGATAGGCCTCTTTAGAGCTGACTGGGGACAATTCTTGTTTGACATGCTTAAAAGGAGGAGAGCAGCCAAAATAGCCCCCTACACCCCGTCTTCCAGGACTTGGCAGGGGGCTGTGTGTTTTGAGTGCGTTTGGCAGAGTTTTGGTGTTCTGACTCAGCAGATGATAACAAAAGGAGGATGGCGAAGCGTTCCTTTATTCCATAATCCTGTTTGCTTTTCTGGAAACTGGCTATAGCCTCAGAATCACTGACTCAATTTTTGGATCCTATTCTCATGACAAAGCGACTGTCTGGTTTCAAACAAGCCCATTATAAAAAGGGTGCCTCGGTCCTGCCTGTTTTATAACAGGTCCTGACTTGCCTCCAGCACTGGGAAGTTTGGCTGGAACGGAAAATGTCCAGGACTGGACCAAAGGTAAGCTTGTTTGCAGCCTATACACAATATATACACGAGCCTGTTTCATTATGTGCAGCAAAACATCTGGGATGAGTTAAGTCAGTGAATGAGCGCAAATCTCATCTTTTCTCTGTGCCACGCTCATGTGGCATATTGCAGAGAGGGAAAGAAAAGGCAAAGCAGACAATGAAACGGTATTTCCCACAACCTGAGCAAGTGATCTGCCCTAGAGAGGGGTCACTGCCCCTATGCTGCTTTATTAGAACACAGTGGGTACTGCTAAGTATTGCTTACAGTTGCTGCTCATGGGTTTCCTTCTAACACAGCTGCTGTTGGGAAGAAATGTGATAACTGCTGTTAGGTGGCCGATGCAATATGAGTTTAGCAGTCACGTAAGGAAGATCTGCTGGGGCAAATCTGTTATCTGCCAGGTAAGCCCCAAAGAAAAGTTTGGACAGTGAGCAGTTAAGGGGATATCACTGTGAGCAGAGCAACTCAATGGCTTTACTGACGGGAGGCGATCTGCATCGGAGTAATGTGTGACTGAAATGAACTGACGGATCTGGAATTGAAATCTGCAGTTTGCCTGTCATTGCCCTGTGGGTGGAAACCATCTGCCTCCTCTGTGCCTGTAGCATCACAGGGAAGCTGAGAAGCGCTGAGTCTGAGGGACTGGAGTGAACTGAGGGTGTGCGAAGGGCAACACAGGTGGGCAGGAGCCGTCTCCTTTAGTCTCTCTGTATGTGCTCTAGGGAGAAAGCAGCAAACTACACCTCTAGTTGTTCTCTGCTTAGTGACTATAACATCCTACCAGATTTCTGTGGCTTTAAAAATGCAGGGAGAATATCCCCCAAGGAACAGAGTAGTGTTGAATTGAAAGTCACTTGTGCTCCTCAGGGTGGGAAGGGGACATCAGATGAGCTCTCTGTTACAAAACAGAAGGCCACTTTGACCAACTTAATAGGCAAATCAGATTGCTGTGATAGGGCACATGAACCCTCAGATGCCTGGTTAGGCTGGTAGGGCACACTGACTGACCAGCAATAACTGTGGCTAAGTTATTTTTTACAGAAAGTGAATGTATAAAAAAAAATAGTGAGGTTGTTCCAGATTTGAGTCTAGTTCCAAGGCTGAGATGGCAGCCTTGGACTGTATTTTTCACAGCGATATTAAATCAATACAAGAGGCCAACATGCTGTAGGTGAAGTACAGCTGGCTGGGATCAAGAGGTGATTGTGTATCTTAATGCCTATGGAATAACCAAGGAATCAGCTGGTTGATGTTTGCTATGACTAGGAAAGCTATGACCAGGGGATACTGAGACTGCTGGTGTTTCTCCTTTACCTTAGCACTAGCTAAGTCTCCTTTGGGGACAGAGGGTGAAGAAGTCAGGCTGGTGTGCATGGAAAAATGGATTACAGTCCTGTGTGTTAGATGTTTAAATCACTGGGACAGGGAAAATTCTGTCCAGAGTAGCTGTGGGAATTGGCTGAGGCAATTTCCAATGTTGCCAAACAACCCAGGCAGCATGCACCGGGCTGATGCCCTTCTAAGGAAGCTTGAAAAAGGCAAATGCTGCCTGAGTCTACACGGTGTCAAATCAACTGACTTGCACATCAGTTGTCCTTTCCCTGGAACAGTTGAGTTTGGAAATTCATTTTTTTGCCTTTTTTTTCCTATTTCTCTCCATGTTGGAGGCAGCAGGGGTTACAGATGGGCTCAGATTATGGCTGTGTGCTTTGGAGCTATGCCCTTCCAGTGGCAACACCAATGCTGCTCCTAGAGGGATGAGGAACCCCCTGCTTCCCTCCCCTGCTGGTCTTTCAGGTCACCTTCTACGAAGACAAGAATTTCCTGGGTCGTCGTTATGAGTGCGACGCTGACTGCCCTGATTTCCACACCTACCTGAACCGCTGCAACTCCATCCGGGTGGAGGGAGGCACCTGGGTGGCCTACGAGAGGCCCAACTATTCGGGGAACATGTATGTGTTGAGGCGGGGGGAATATCCTGACTACCACCACTGGATGGGCCTCAATGACCGCCTTGGATCCTGCAAAGCTGTCCACATTGTAAGTGTGATGTTGCCCTAGGGGTATCTCAGTTCACCAACCTGCCACTTCAGCTTGGTTCACTGTCATTGAATGGCTTGTATTGGAAGGAATCTCAAAGACCATCCACTTTCAGACCCCCATCACATGTGGGGATTCCTCCCATGAGATTAAGTTGCCCAAAGCCCCCCCCCGTCCTGGCTAGGAGCACCTCTAGGGATGGTGCTTGCTAGTAGTCCCCATCTTCCTGAGGTATCTAAGAAGAGGAAAGCAATAGGTGGGTGGCACCAAGTTCCACAGCTGGGATAATGACTTTGGGGGGGAGGGGGGGGGGAGGGAAGCAGGCTCCAACTTGACAGAGTGGGAGCATGGTGTTAGAGCTGAGTGCTACTGCCCTGGTGTCAATACCAGCAGCATAGCTGATGCCTGGTGGGCACAGTGTTGATGGGTCAATAATTGGAGTAGATGATCTTAATGGTCTTTTCCAACCGTAATGATTCTATGATCTGTGCATCACTGACATGGGTAGCACTACCATGATTTGCCATTGAATGGAGCAGGTCTTAAAGCTGCAAGAGGCTTTTGCTTTTGTCTGTTGTGGGTTTGAGGTGTATGTAAACCCTTTAGCCTAGGGATAGTTGTCAGCCACTTCAGAGCTCTGAACTGCTACAAGGGATGGAGCAGGAGCACGTGGGAGGTGTAAGAGCAGCACAGCATTCTCTGCCAGCATGAAAAGCAGAAGTGATGCTGCATGTCCACTGTGCTTGGCTTCCCCTCCCATAGATGGGGAGGTGGCATGGGGACTGGCTGATCGTAGATGTTGGTTCAGAGCCCCTGGAGCAGTGACACACAGAGCTGTGAGACCCTGCAGAGTTTGGCTGGGGCTGGTAGTGAGAAAAGGCGGAGGGGAGGCGGGGGGAGTCCGTGTCCAGACAGCCACAGATTAAAACCACCACGGTGCCTTCAGGCAACACAGCGCTTGAAATCACAGTGGAAAATACCCGTGCTGCGTCCGCCTGTAATACAACCCAGCTGGGGTCAGCAGCTCATTAAACTCCTCATTGCCCAGAGGAGCGGGGAGCAGAGGGGTGCATCCCTCCTGATGCTTGCACTGAGTGGCTACAGGCTTTGAGCAGGCTGCCTGCATGGGATAGAGCCCAGCACGTGCTCATCTCTCTCCACACCCATCTGAAACTCGGGCTGTGGTGGGGGTTTAGGCTGAAAGTGCTCTTTGCATGTGATGCTTGGTCAAGAATTATCCTATACTGTGTTTAGGGGCTGATGTGAGCTATTCAGCACTGTTTTGGGGTGTTGGTGCCTGAACTGAGCTTGGCTATGCCTTGCCTCTGCTTCTGCCCCAGAGGCATCCCAAACCCCCTGCAATTCTCTCCCTTCTTCCTTCCAGCCAAGTGGAGCCCAGGGCCACATCCAAGTGTTTGAGAAGGGGGATTTCGGTGGGCAGATGTTTGAAGCCACTGAAGACTGTCCTTCCATCCTGGAGGAGTGCCACTTTCGTGAGGTCCATGCCTGCCGGGTGCTGGAGGGCATCTGGGTGTTTTATGAGCACCCCAACTACCGGGGCAGGCAGTACCTGCTGCCCAAGGGCGAGTACCGGCAGCCAGTGGAATGGGGGGCAGTGACCCCTGCTGTCCAGTCCTTCCGCAGCATTGCTGAGTGAATGGTGGGGAGCTGGGCCCCCAATAAAGCACTTGAGTCACTCAGAAGCTCTGTCCTGCTTTTTCCCCATGTGTGAACCCGTTGGCCAGGTGCTTTCTTTGGGCAGAGCAGTCTCCACCAGCTCCCAGTGCCTCCAGTTCTGGCAGTGGGACTGCAGTGGGCAGAGACTCTGGAACATGGGGGTTCCTGGGCATCCTGGCTGTATTAGGATGCCACTGGGTGTGGGACAAGGGGGGTAGCCACCAAAAATAGGGAAGTTAGAATAGGATGAAGAGGTTTCACGTGGACAGAGATAGTGAACATCTCTCAGAATTACCCTGAGATTGCTGCTGAATGTTCCCAAAGAGCAGCAGAGGATAGGAAGGAGTCAGTTCCCAGGCCCTGGAGACATGCACTGAGCAGAAGGGGCCACCAGGCTCCCAGTCATCCCAGTTTGGAACATCTGCTTTGCCCTGTGCCACTAGATGTCAGGCTGGTTGTGCCCATGCAGGAAGCAGTGATGCAAGGCACTCCTTGTGGGGACTCCAGCCTGTTTGCATGTGGAGCAGAGGGACCCTGGGCTAATGATGGCAGTGGAAGCAGAGCCCTTGCAGCCATGCTCCCTAGTCTCCTTGGTTGATGTATGAGGTTATTACAGAGCAGGGAGGCAGGCAAAGTGATGTTTGTCAACCTGCAGCCCCTGGGAGCACAGCTCCCTGCAAAGGGCGATGTGTGTCCGCATCCTCCTCCAGTCCCCCCCCTTTGCTCTCTCTGTCATGTCTCTCCTTTCCTCTGAGGTTTAATTCTGTCTCCTTAGACACTCCAGCATTACCCAACTCTTAGCATTTGGGGTTGGTGCACAAGCAATCCTCCAGCACCTTGATCAGCTTCCAGCAAAGCTCTCTGGGATCCTCTCTGGGAGACCTAAAGGGCACCAGCTTGAGCATGGCATGAATGTTGGGTTTCGTTGTTGCCTTTCCCATTTCTACATGGCAGATTCCTGCAGGTGGGATAGCAGTTAGTGAGTTTGGGCACTGCAATTCCTGCTGCACCCCCACGTTGGGGCACCAGGCTCTGCTTCACCCCTACGGTCATGTTACCTCCCTGCGTCCTTCCTGTGCATCACGTAAATGCAATTATCCCATCTCTTCCCCTCCCCACCTTCCTGCCCTCTGGTAAATTCCACATTGTACCCTGAATGCTGGCAACCAAGGCGAACAACAGTAAAATATGCTAGTTGTGTAGGTTTTATTTTATTTTATTATTATTCCTGATTACTTTTTCCACTGGGGGCTCCCTCGTTGCGGGTGACTCCAAACAGCAGGAGCGCAGGCCATCCAGCCCAGCCCGCTTGACGGCTAATTTCCATTTTTCAGTATCAGGGGGTCTGCTCCGGTAATTGGCATGCAGATTGAGTCTGATGGGCCTGTTCCATATGAGAAAAGGCTTCGCTCGTTAGAATAAGCCAACCCCAGGCTGATGGATGGGGCAGAAGGAGGTCATTGCGAAAGAGAATACAGCGATATGTGTGCACAAGATGGGAAATTTCTCCCCCCCCCTTTCTTTATCCGGCCAACTCTAATCTATCATATTTCATTGAGACAAATCCTGCTCCGTTTCTTTCTCCTTTTTCCCTCGAAGGGAAATGTGCTGGAACCTGCTCCTGGATTTAATAAGAAGATGGTGTGGTGGTGTTGGAATTAAAGCGGTGCCATGGTTCATTAGCAGCTGGGGAGCGCGCCGAGCTGGCCCAGATGTTAATTACACTTTGGGAATTAATTTCTATAAGGCGCTCCTCTCCTCTATCATCCCTAATCCAGCAGGCACGCCAGGACTTCTCAAAGCGGAAGCTGCAGGGTGGGCATCTGTCCCCTCCTCTGTCCTATTTGTCTGTCTGTCCTGCTGCTATGTATCCCCCCCCCCCCCCCCCATTACTGCCCTTGGACCATAGCTAGGCAGGCCTGACAGCGTGCTTTCAAGCCATGCAAAGTAGATTCAGAGGCAGAGCCAAGCTGCTTCATGCCCTGTGTTAAACACCCCAGCTTGGAGTTCCCCTACAATTGCAGAGGGAGATGGAGACGGAAAGGCAGTGCTCGAGGGATCAGCTGTCCCTTTGACAATCCCCAGCAGAGGGCAATAGAAGCAAATGGAAGAGACAAGACTTTGCAAGTGATGTGCAAGAGGAGTAGTTTGCAAGCCAGTGACATGCAGGCAGGATGATGTGCAAGCAGGGCCATGTGCAAGTAGAATAATGTGCAAGCCGTGTGATGTGCAAGCCCAACCACGTGCAAGTGGAATGATGTGCAAGTAGGGGTAGGTGCAAGCACAGGCTTATGCAAACAGAGCCATGTGCAAATGAGGCTAACGAGTTATAGAATCATAGAATCACCAAGGCTGGAAAAGACCCACAGGATCACCCATTCCAACCATCCACTAATCCCCAATAGTTTTCAATGCAATGGAAGCAATGTACGAGTGAGGGCAAGGTGCAAATGGAGCAATGCACAGGGGGAAGGATGCAAAGAGGAGATGTGCAAGTAAAACAATGCTTGGGGAGGTGGGGAAAGCAGTCAAAGCAAAACAGAGCAATTGAGGAGTATTTTCATAGAATCATAGAATTGAGAAGGTTGGAAAAGACTTCTAAGATGATCAGGTCCTACCACAAACCCATTGCCACCATCCCCACTAACCACGTCCCTTGGTTCTCCATTGGTAGGACTTAAATCAATTATCTGAATGCAAACGATTGCTTTAGGTTTGGAGGGAGAAGGAGATCTTTGAGAGGAGAAGATAATGAGGGCAGTGTTCCTGTTTGGGTTTCCAGACCTGGCATTTTTGGGGTTAGAAAATAATCTCATTAGAATGACACCAATGTGCCCATCTCACAGGTATCCCCATTCATTCTGCAACATGATCCAGTACATTGGGATTATTACCTGTTCCAGCCTAAGCAAGTGGCAGACAGCTATTTCCTAATGGGGAAGTGTTACGGCCACTTATTAATGAACAATGCATCATTAAGAGGGGAGAGCTTCAAAGGCTCCTAAATGCATTTCAAAGGGCACAGTGCAAGCGGAGCCCACCATTGCATATCTGGGGAACACGGGCAAAATTTCTAACAAGGAATATACCGGGCCCAATGTAATTAACTAATTCTCAATCAAAAGGTTTTTAGAACTGAATGGTCAGGGAATTCAATTATGGGTTTCCTAATGAAGTGTTGTGTGCCAAGGCAGGGATATTTTCCCTTGGAAGATCAGGGCTGAGATCAGGGCACAGCTCCTTCTGTGGGGCCGCCGCACACATCCCTAGGGCATCTAGAGATGTTCCATGTGGTGTGACCCCATAGCTGATTTTTGTCACCCCATACCTAATATTTCTCATCCCATACCTGATTTTTGCCATACCAATGGCGCCTCTAAGCCAAAACTGGTGGATGGGGCTGGGGGATGTAGGTCCATGCAGCCCATCCCTTAGCACCTCCCAATCCTCCTCTGGAGACCCCAGCAGGGGAGGTTTCCCCCTCCACCCCCCAAATCCAGCCTCCAGTTAAAAGCAGCGTTGTTCTCCATCTATGAAAGGAGCCTCATCCAATCCTCCAGTAGTTTCTCTTATTATAGAAAGTTGGTTTGCTCACTTTACAAAGGGAAATGTATTATGAATCTTCCCTTCATTCCCCTCTTTTTTTTTCTCCACGTTTAACAACCGATTTGTGTGTTGCATGAAAGTTACACAGTTCTTTAGATGCATTTGCTATTTTATTTTCTTTCATTCAAAAATATGTCAGTAATCTTTTTGTTAACATGAAAGATAAAGGATTAGTAATGCAAGATGCAGTTTTCTTGTAACCTTCTTGAAAGCAGACTATAGTTTCTTATCTGGCTCTAACATTCATTTTCCTGAAATGAAAAAAAAAAAAAAAAAGGACTTTTAAAATGAAATAAACTATATTCGATTCAGAGGAGAAGCACTAGCGAAGAAATTTATTGCAGCTGACAGAAGGGAGAGCTGCACAGAAGTCCTTCTGCTGCAGCAGCCGGCACCTCTCGAACAGAACCATGCACGCATGCACACCCACGTGCACAGGGAATGCAGCTTCAGGGGGCAAAGCAACACAGTCAAGCCTTGTGCCATCACTGACACATCACAGCTTGGCTCTGGGAGCCATGGCAAGCTGCTGCTTGTGAGGCATTGGGCTCTAGAGCTGGTGGTGATAATTGCATTGAGAACAGCCAGTTGGGGCATCCCAAAGTGGAGCTGGGCTTGGTTGGTGTAGGTGTTCATTGGATTACTCTTTTGGGTTTGGTTTTGTCTTTGAGTTTGGCTTGTGAACCTGGTGGCTTTTGGGGTAATCATGGTGCGGGGTCCTGTACACTCTGGAGACTGCAGGGAGCAAGAGGAGGTGTTATTCTTAGCACTGATGTCTCTTGAGAACCATATGTTCAAGGGAAGATTGCTGTGGTGGTCATGAGTGCAGCCCAAACTCTATGATGGCTGTGAAGCATCACAGTGCATGCTGTGCCCATGGCATTGAGCTCTCAAGTGCCTACAAGCAAAGCTCAGGTAGAATCAGAATCTAAAGAGAGATGGATGAAATGAAAACCTGACCATTGGAGCAGGAATTATAGTCTGGGACAGGAGGGATGGGACAGCAAGAGCTATGGTGTGAGTTAGGAACCAGCAGTGCTTGGAGGAACCATCACAGCTGGGCATTCAGAGCGCCCAGAGGCAGTGCTGGTGGCTGCAGCTCCCTGGGCTGTCTGCTGTATCTTCTGCTGATGGCTCATAGCACCTTGCTCTGTGTAGTCCTTGGATGGACCAAATGGACCTGCTGTCATTTCTGACCCCAACCATTCTGGGATTGTCTGCCAAGGGAAAAACCTTACATCCCACTGCTTCGTAGACATGGAGAACGGAAGGTTTCAGTTTGCACCAGTCTCTTTGGGTGGAGAAACCATGGATGTGATAGCAGTGGAAATGCAGAGAGCCCAGATGGAGCAATGGCCCTGGGGCCCGAGGGTTAAATCATGATATAAAATGTCAGATTTCTACAGCAATTAGCTAATGGGCCCTGAGCACGTGCAAGGTGCTTTCCCCCATCACACGCATTTGGTTAATACTGAGTTGGCACTATAGGGAGCTGTGCTTTCAAGTTTGTTTATAACCTCATTTGTTGTTTTGCTCTGGAGAAACTTGATATTTTCTATTGCCGACGGAAATGCTGATGTCTTTTGTGCATGACACAGCTTGCATCTGCTCCTTGTGCAGGGCTTCACAATCACAAAATAAAACAAAGGGGCGTCATCTTTGGGCTGAAATCTTTGGAGTCCTGTGCCAGCACATCCGTGCTTTCATTTGAGGGAAAGTGGGTTTTCATATCAAAGGAGCCCCCCCATGACCAAGCCTTCCCTCTCCCCCTCTCTGCCCCGGCACACACGCTCTTTTAATATTTCATATATTTCCTAAGCTTTTATGCCTCTAAAAGAGAAGTGAATTTGTGGAGAGTTGAGCTCTCCAGAGCTGTACTTCAGAGCTGGGAAGTAATTCAGGGTGAAGCCTGTATTAATCTCAGGTGAGAGAGATATTTAAATTCAGGCTACCAGTGTGAATATAAAATGGGGATCTCTTTACAAAAATTTCAAATTGTAATATGCAAAGCTTAAAGAAAAGAAACCCCAAGGGAACAGCTTTCTTCCGGAACATTTTGTTCCAACCATCATCTCTTTACCTTTATTTTTTTATTTCAGAAACCCTCCCTTTGCCATTTTGTGTGTGTGTGTGTGTGTTTTTTTTTTTAAATTAAATCTCATAGAGTTTTAAAAAATGAAATTCTCCATCACGGGGAGACGGCGGTGGGGCGAAGGAGGAAGAAGTGGAAAACGATGTGCAGACCCAGATTTGAGCTGCAGCAGAAGGAAGGGACCCGCAGCCCCTGCCGTGTTTTTCCTCTCCCCAGCCCTGTTTTCAAAGCAGATGCATGGGGTGAAGAACGAAAAGGCATCGCTGGAAAACCCCTCTGCTGCTCTGGGTGCAACAGTGGGAATTGGAACTGAAATCCTAACCCTAATCCCCAGCGGGAGGGAGGTTGGGGCAGAGCGTGGTGCCCTTGCTGTTGCTGTCAGCTCATGGCACGCGTCCACCCGCTTTCTCCTTCTGCACAGAAAACATGTTAGTATCGATCTCTGAGCCCAGGCAGCCTATCTCGGTGTGTTTCAGTGGGGAGGTGAATTGGTTTGGCAGTGGATTGAGCCCGGTGTTGTGCTCCTGCCGCTGCCGCACGCCCCTCTGGCTCCCAGGTCAGGAGGAATATGTGACAGATGACACGCCATTATCAGCACCGTCAATTAATTAAATTACACATTATGCTTATGAGAGTGATACACTGAGCCACTCTAGATTAAGTGTCTCAATTAAGTCTTTAATTTAGATTTAATAAGTAAGTTATTATATGCTAATAAAAGATCAATTAGTTGTTAAAAGAGCATTGATCCAGGTACAATAAGTGTGTCAGGGCGACAACTAACTGGTGTCGAAGAGATCGTGTGAACAGTGT